AGAGGGGCTTTTAGCCTGTTGACTTTGAGGCTGAAGTCTGAAAGGGCTGCCTGAGGTAATTCAGTACCAAGTGAAATGAACTGAGGTCTCCCATTCCTTAAATAAGGCACCCTAAAAATTGGGCTGTCCATCTTCAGGTCATGGAAGAGGTAAGCTGTGGTGGCTAACTGTGAAAGGGCAGATAAATAAATGGGATGTGAGCACATAATTCATTGCTGTTGGAGTGCCATTGAAATCAATGTTACCTGGGAATGAATCCAGCCCGATGCTAATAAAGCTATCAGCAGAGGTGGGAAAATAACATTTTTCTTCTTGCTCATGATTGACTGAAATCTTTCTGCTGTCATATAATGGGTAATTGTAAGAAGCTGTGTATAGCAGTGGTGCAGTAGAAATAATAAATAACTTCTGCACAAAGGATATATGGTCAAAGACTCCGAGTACACAGCAGCTTATTTGAAGCAGCAATATATTACTAGTCTTTAAATTAACAACGTAAGAAAAATGAACTCTATTTATCATGTAACTTACCTATCTGAAGTATAATATGTATCAGGCCTTTGTATTACTCAGTGAACATTATAAACAAAGCAGAGATGGTTTGTCAATGGTATTAAAGCAAGGCAAAAAAGATTTTGTAGAAACTGAAATTTACAATGCAAAGCCTTGGTTTCCATCACCGCAGAAGCCTGCCTGAACTGAATTAAGTGCCCAATATTCAGGCACAGTTGCTGTAATCTTATATGCCTGTTAGACACTTACTCATGTAAATGGATGGGCAGTGTCCAATTAGTCTGTGCAAATCAATAGTCTATTTCTGTGTCCAATTACGGTAATGTAACCCTCTGCTTTCAAAAATATCAAAATCATTTTTAAAGGCAGAGAAAGTTTGGAAGAATGAGAAGCCAGAAATGTGGAACTGGTCTCTGAATGTCAGCTTTTCAATTATATCAGCTATAATAATATCTGGGTTTATTTGGGATACGTTGTGGCAGGCATACACAGATGTGAGCAAAGCACAAATCTGGTCTTTCTGTAGAATAAGAACACGTCTTCATCCTCTCCCCACGCCACCATGTTCTCCTTCCAAAATATATAAGTTCAGAACATTCAGATTTCCAGTTAGCGTGGAAAAGACCCAGTAACAAAAGTGAAACATTCAGGAAGTACTCATGAAACATTCAAAGGCATCACTTCGGAGTATTCTGGTAAATCTTTTTCACCTTATCTTGCACTTCTTGAAATATATTATTACTTTAAAGGAATATGATAGTAAGACCTGGAAATTAGTAAGTGTAGCCTAAAAGCTGTGCCACACACAGCCAATTTTTCTTCTGCTTTGAAAAGATGTTTATCCAGCTATTCATGGCAGGTAGAGCACAGGGCAGGAGGTAAGTCTAGATGGGCACTAAAGGATGATGAGAACTCAGAGGTATGAGCCAAGCCTTTAGTAGTCCATGTTCATTTTGTTCCATTTCCATTCAGTGTTTTTCAGTGTGCCAAGGAAAGAGGATGTTGTTGATACTGCTTGTTGATCCACTTGTAATAATATGTCACAAGAGCAGGAAAGTACCAGTGATTCTATAGTCATGAGGTAACATACTGTTACACAAGTGATTCTAGCAGGAATAAGAAACGCAGCAGGCATCCATTGTTCTGACAGTCTCCCTTTTGATGAGAAAGATTCAGTAAAAATAGGAAAATACATTAAAAGAATGTTGATGAGATTTTAATGGTTTTCCTTGACTGGAGATTGCTGAAAGACTTAAGAGAAAATGGTTGAGTATCTTGATACGTGTGAAACTAAATCAGAAGCAACAATCCAATTCTTTAAAGACAAGATGGGCCAGAATTGTCATTTAAGATTGTGCCTTCCTTGGGCAATGAACAGCAAAGATGTATTTTAAAAAATACTAGAATATGAATGTAAAAGGATGACTCTACAAAGCCCACAGCTGTGTAACTCTGCCTGTCCCAGTCGTCTCCCTAACATTTTGTGTGTCCCAAGTTTCCCTTTGGCGTTTTCTCTTTGAACTGCTGAAGTCCCCCTAATCTCTTAAAGCAATAGGAACACGGAACATGAGAATTTCCAGGCTGGCTGAAACTGGAGGTGTATCTAACCAAAAATAGCATCTCCAGCAATACCCAGATCCTATTAGCTCTCAGCACTAAGCATAAGAGGAAGTGGTTTGCAAAACTTCTCTGGGAAAATGAATCTAAATCAAAACTGTACAGAAATATTCAATTTTAAAAACCATAGATACAGATGGAATGGGACATACTGAAGTGGTGTGAATTCTTATTTCTGACTGAAATCCTGCACCTAAATTAGAAAAGCCTTCTTAGATGCGTCAAGAGTTTGTATTTTTTCCTGTGCCCTTAGGTCCACTAGAGATACATAATCTAACCTTTAAACGTGTTACACAGAATAGAATTAATTTTAATCTGGAAATCCTCTAATACTGTGATAGTCTTATTTTACATCCCTGACATTCTCTGAACATGCACTAGCTACGTTAAAGTAGCTTTTCAACCTGCCAGCTTTGACTTGTTAAGCAAATATCCAACAGAGTATAAATAGGACCGGTGTTCAGTAGTGGGGGCATCCAAGTTCTTTACACACTCAGGACACATTCTGGCTTTCTGCTTTTGTAGAAAGACAAAAGTCCATAAAGCAGTGTCTTATGTGCATATTCTTCTACACCCGGGGTGTTTCTCACTTGTCGTTAAAGCTCAAAAAACCCATTGCCTTGAGCTTTTTGCCACCTCCTGTCTCCAGTTATATCCCTGTAGTGCTTGATAAATTAAAAGAGTTTTCAGAAGTTGTCCTGCATTATGGGTGAATATTCATGACCACTTGAAGTTTAATTCTCAGTTATAAAGAGGAAAGAACTAGTGTGGATTGTGTCCAAACCCTCCAACCATGAGAAATGTTTCAGGGGATCTGCATATAAGAGAGCAGGGCCAATGTAATCCAAGGAAATAATTATCTCTGGCCATAATAGTTGACTCATTCTATCCACCTTCAAGGGTCCCAAAGCAGTGCCCTGCAGAGGAACTGCTCAGTGGTCTGTACACTGACTCCTCTGCTTGGTGCAAAACAACACAGTGCCTATGTTTGTATAAAACTGTTTGTTGTAGTGGTTTTGGTTTATTTCTTTATGAGAGAGAGGGCTACTGAAAATAAAAAGGATAAAGACCTTCCTTTCTTGAAGGTTTTCAGACCCACAGTCCTTACATGCAGTGATGGTACCTACTGTACTTTTAAAACAAAATAATAAGCAAAGTTCATTTTCTGAGCTAGGCAGGTCATTGCTGCTATAAAATGTCTTTTTTTTTTTTTAATACAGGTGAATGCTAATTCTAGTATCTATTTATCTGGTTTTGTTATTTATTCTTGGATTAAGTACTTCAAGGAGACAAAGCTTGACAGATTCTTTATACGAGATGCCCTTAGATCACTCTGTCGCTACCCATTTTGCAGAGCTTTTGAGGCTGCAAAAGGATTTTAGAGAAAACTTTCCAGAAAACTGATGTTGATTTGATTTTGCTGATAACCATGAATTTATTTACCCATCTTCTGCATAATGTTACTCAGTTGGTTTCTCAGTTCTGTGTTTCTGGTTTAGTGGTACATAAGCAAAAAGGAAGACAAATAAGAAAAACCTGCAGGGCATCAGCAAATCTCCAGTAATTTTCCATATGTGTGTCCTTGTCTATCACTATTCCATAGAGTGAATTCAGTGCAGTTTATTCTTCAAAGTACTTTGCAACTAATATACTGAACACTTCCATATGGGCAATTTCTACAGAGTAATTCAGGTCTCGTCAGTTCATGCCATTGGTAATCTCATGATAAGGTCACTGCTCTCTTGTGCCTTACGTGTTTCTGTCTTCCTGCTCAGCACTGTCATTTTGTAAAGACTCAGGATTTTGCAATTCTGACTTGGGTAAGAACAACCTGAATTACTTGTCTAGAAGCAAGTAGTAGCAAGAGATTTCTCAAATGCATCATTTCAGCTTTGGGGATTTCTGTTGTTGAATCTGAAGTAACTCTTTCTGTCACCTGTTGTCACCTTATGGTAGAAAGTAACCCTTTCTGTCACCATTACATTGAGATGTAATTGCAATCAGCCACCCATTAAAGGTGTGTGTATTTATGACATTAATACAGTAGGTTCGAAATGTTATGTCAGTTGATCATCTCTGCAGCTTCTCCTTTCCAGGCCAAACAGCGTGTTTTGGAAGCCAAACGACATGTATCTTGGAAGTGCATTTTCTAAGCTGGATGGAGCATACACTGTTTCCTTCTTTAACTTTACGTTTCATTTAGTCAAATAAGTGGTTTGAAAATCCCCTCAATCTTCTGTTGTACAGAACTCTGACAGCAGTCTTATTCTTTCTTTCACCACTCACACCTATCCCCTGGCATCCACAAATTATTGGCTCTTTGTTTAATCTTGTTCCTCATGTATCAGGAGAAGGGAAGCAATATTTGGGTTGCCTTTGGTTTGTTGGGTTCTTTTGGGGTTTGATGGTTTTTTAGATTGTACTTAGTGTCACTCCTATTTTTACAGACCTTGAGATTTGTAGTGATTTTTTTTTTTTTTTTGCAATTACAGAAGTAATAAGGAATTTTTAAATGTGTAGTAGCTCTTAGGGAAATGATGGTTTGGGGATTGGTGAATGGAGACAAAATTCCATTGAAATACAAAACCTTGAGAAAATTAGGGTGGTGGTTCTAGAAATGCATAGAATTCTGTGCTTGGCAGTGCAAGTGTGTGTCTAACTTAAGCTCTGAAGTTTCAGTGTTGGAGCCTGCTTTGTGAAGATAGAAAAAATGGATCTAGATGTTAAAGTTCTCAGAATTTAGTGATTTCCATTCGATCACTTGAACTTTCTGGACCTGGTAATGAATTTCACAGCCAGATCCTGTTAGGGGCACTGAAATCCCTCTACAGGTGCAAGGCTTCTTCAGTTTGGTATGGGACCAGTTATAGTTCCTAGGTCTAGATTGATGGAAGTTCTTGCAGTCATTCTCATTGCAGTGCAAAGTTTCTTGAGTCACCAGTTCTGGAAATTCATCTCTTAATTTATTTGCATAGGATAACTGAGGTGTCTGTTAAGTGCCTGGGGTGAATACCTGACTTCTGGTATTTTTGTGAATTTCAAAGATACAGACTTCAATGACTTGGTTAAATCTCCACTAATTAGTTGAAGTTCAGTTATTATATGTTTTCCTCTAGCAATTAGGAGATGTACATCGGTGCCAGTGTCAAAAACTGGATAGAAGCCAGTCCAGGGCTCATTATCTCACCAGAAATCCTTGGTTGTTAATCAGCATTCGATAAAGATTAGACGGTTCCCTGCTGGCAGTTGGCTATTAAATTCCATTTATACTGTTGCCCCATAAATACTATAAATTCTCTTTCATTAGCAGACTGTTCACAAAATCCTTTGAAAACAGAAGTTTCATTTGAGGATGACTGAACAAAATAGAATCTAATTAGGCTGGAAGACCCCAAACCACCATAATTTCTCACAGTGTAATAATGCTAGAGTAATGCTTTTGAAGCTGTTCTGCTACAGTATTTCCAAATAAATGTGTGTCATTAAATTAGGAGGGCTTAGCAAGCTGGGATGCATGATAGTTCTGGTCTAAAGGGCAAAGATTTATAGATGTCTATGAAGAGAGCTGGGATTTTGGAAGTTAAATTGCACCCATGGCGCACTGCTGCATTTGAAATACCCATTGCACTTTACAGCAGTTTTAGAAGAAAATCAGTTTTCCAGCAATGCAGCTACTTCGAAGCTTTCACGCAGAGAAACTGGAGGGAAATGGTCCCTTTATGAAGGTTCTGTAGGGTTCATTATTGGCACTGTGTTGTATATAGGCAGCTAAGAACACCTGATACTTCTTCTCTTCTAGTTACACTATAAGCTTGGGAAGGATAAAAAAAAAAATTAACTTATTCCTGTTATATGTGTGTGTAAGAATAAGCTTGCAGAAAAAGGTGTTCATGTTTCTAAACAAGGGGTGTGTGTTCCTGACGTAGTTAGGCTGGGGTTATGTCAAATGTCATGCCTCTGTCGGTCTTCAGCATGTATCTGTAACCATAGTTTTCTGTAGTATTTGAAAGAATTTTTGGAGATCACAGGTAACTGAGTGTATTTCCTTGGTATTCACAGCAGTGGCAGTGCTGAATCTCCTTGTCACTTATTTATCAATTTTAATCAGACAAGTTGTGCTGGTATCTTAAAATCTTCTGCAAAACAAATAGATTTGTGCTAATGCCATTAATATTTATTTTCTTCTTTTGCTCTTCTCTGCATACTCTCCAGGCAATCCTTGGGTCCCCTTTCTACAGTTTGACCCTCTGGAGCTTTATGACTGTTGAAAAAGTCTCTGACTCTTGATCTCAGTATAGACACCTTTTGAATGCAGATGAATATTTGGTAGCCACACCACTGATACTTGATTTCACTGAGGGTAATATTTGCTTGTTCTTCATAAAGGCATTTGTTAATGTGCTGATAAATCTTTCTTTTTGCAACCACTGGCTGATGTGTAATGGCAGATCTGTCTTGGGAAATTATACACTGCCACAGAGAATGACTAGCCTGGTAGTATAAATGCTGTGAACTCCACCCTGTATCCAGGTGCTGCATTCCCCCAGTAGCTCCTGTGCTGACCCACAGGATTGATTTTGTTCCCTCTTAATAGCAACCTTGAAACAAACAGTCACAGTGCTCCCATCCATCTTCAGGAAGGCTGAGCAGTATGGCTGAAAGTAATTTGAGTACAGAACCACAAGGGTATTTAGGGACAGGATTTCTTTACTGAGATGTACAATTCTCATTTAAACTATTTGTATTTGTACAAGAAAAATACAAGAAAACTAAGAAACGATCTAGCTTCTTCCATAAATATTGTAATTTTATATCACTTGGCTATTGAGAAAGATAAAAGGACTGTTAATTTAAAAGTTGGGTGCTTGCAACATACAAAGAGTGATAATTACGCTTTTAAACTTGTTTACATAATTAGATGAGCCACTAAAGATCTGATAGACAATTGAATTACTGTGGCTCATTGAGTTATGCATGACAGCTGAATAATAGTAAAACTACATGCATTCTTTTAGCCTGTTCTAAATATGGACTCAAAAGCATTAACTTAAGTCTCTTTCACCAAGATTTACTCCAACTGATTTATCTCTCATTTGTTACTGGCTCAAAGTATGCATTTGATAATTATAGTGTAAATGCACATAGTCTAGTATATATTTGATGCATAGTGAATAATTAAGTCGCAGAAAATTGATTCTGTGTCTGAGTTCTGGGGAGTGTTTTATCTCCAACATTCTGGAGTGCAGTGATTCAATCAGAATGACTTTCTATGACAAGGTTTGCAAAATCCATGGGGACACCATTCGGTTTCAATAACTAAAAGTATGTCCCTGAAACTTTCTGAATATGTAGCTTTGTTCTGCTGTATTTAGGGTTTTTTCTTACAGAAATGCTGTTTTCCAGTCGCCACCCACCTGTCTTGCTCCCTTGTGTTTATGTTCATTTCTACACTAGAGACCAATGGAGAGTTTTCAGATTCAGACCACCAGCAGCTATAGGAACAGGACAGAGAAAATTACATGCTTTCATTACTCCCGATTTCAGTAAGTCTCATCCTTATAAGGAGTCCCATTTGCTGGGATCCCTGCATCAGTAGATGCTGCTGTCTTCATTTGCAAGGAAGGAAGCAAAGAAAAGGTAATGTCCTGGTGATTTTTTTGGGGGGGGCTACCTGTCTGAAATGAGCTCTGAGCAAGCAGTTCAGCTGGAGGAGCTGTTTTGCTAGTGATATCTCAAATATTTTTTACACCATAAACTCCTAGTAAAATCTTTTGGAGGAAGAAACTGATCATTCCCAGCAACTCAAATGAATTAGAGCTTTTAAATCTAAGCAGTTTCTTAGAATTGAGCAATGTCAAATTCCCAGCAATGCAACTGAATCATTCAGGATCAGAGTGTCCTACAAACACTGAAGGATGCTAGTCTGGTGTAGTTGATATAATTCACACGTTTCCTATAAGGCTTAGAAGTACAGGATACTGCCATAAGGAATGGTGAAAGCAATCCTAAGCAGTTCCTGAGCTCTTCAAATGCAGTTTTCCTTTTTGGCTGGGTTACATGACGAGCTGACAGCTGTGCTCATATAAGATCTGATAGGTATCACAAATCCTTGCTGCTAGAGAAGATGAGCTGGCAGAAGTTGCTGAAACTGATGTTACTCTGGGACCCAACTGCAGGTACCCCAAATCCCTTCTGCCATTTCATTTCTGCCTGTGAACTTTTATTGAAGGTCCATCTGCTCCCTGGCCCTGGTATAGTCCGTTATATGCAGCTTATATATAACTGATCATATAACTGATCACTCTGTTCTTTTGGGTTGTTCTTTCTTGTTTGCAGAGAGTTCAGGCTTGATCGCAGCAACATATTTCTGTGGTAAGGGGTATTCTAGGGCATGTATGAGCAGGAAACCAGACTGGAATATTTCACCAATACTTTTATAATAAATTTGTAGCACCAAAAATTTTGCTGCCTCCGACAGCAGACTTAACTTCAGTGATTAAAGGGGCAAAAATGTTCCATTAGCAATGGAAGATCTCAGATGTCCCCTTGAACAGTGATGAGCACGCTTCTTACTTCATTTAATTATGTTAAAGTTCTCATGAAGTGGCCACAAATTCTGCTGTGATAGTAAAAAAACACAGTCCCTGCTTATTTAGTGTGTGGAAACATCTTCATCTAGCTACACAGCATTTCTTCTGACTGCATTGAAGGAGTTAGTGTTGCTTTAATTCACAGACACACATCAGAACTGTATTTCTTGATCTGCAGTAAAAGACTGTGGAACTGGTCAGCCTGGGGAAAGAGCAGAAGCAAAGCTGTGCATGATCCAGATCTTAGGGGTGTCTGCACAGTACAAAGCAGCCACCTGAATTAACCACCAGGGAGCTACCAGGCTTGACTTGAGCAGCCCTGCTCAGCAAAGTTCTTCTCAACAAGGCTATTTAGACCCTGTGGAGAGCTAATACGATTATGTGACTTCTGCTGCGCAGGATTTCTTGCTCAAAGGTACCTAAAAACTTTACACACGATTAGATCATACGCCATAGAAATACTGTTAAGGAATTGCTTGACTGTATCCAAGGATATGAAAAGCAGGTCAGTGTCCTTGAGTGTTTTGTACGGCTCAGACGAGAGCAGTCAAGCAGAAGCAAAGGAGTGTATGTAGTATAGGCATTCTGCTTGGGTTTGGACTCAACCAGTGAAAGAAATAAGGATTTTGACATTGAATTTGCCAGCAGACACCACCAAAGAGAGAGACTCTTTTATTCTGTATGTTATGGTATATCCCATAAAACTATAGTCTGTTCTTATTATTGGAACTGGCCATGGTAATACCTTAACTGCTTTCAGAATCTTCAGTGCTGTTTAATTTTGTAGCCTTGTGCATACCTGGACATGGGATTTTTATACCAAAGCACCTTCTGCCTTTCATTTATCAGCTTGTGTGGTTTTACAAAACCGGTTTATCATTCTGTTCTATACAAAACCCTTACTCTGTAATGATAGTGTCAGACATGAGTGGCAGTGTGTGAAAAGTAGAATGTGCTGAAGGAATGTCTCTGTTCCTTATTTACAATGAAATATGTGGAGTAAGGTAAAGATGGATCAGCATGTTCTTGTGCATAGTGATAGATAATTGACATATAGAACAATCAACTACCAGGCCTAGAAATAAGCTTGTGTCTTCTCTGCAGTCAGGCAAAGCCTGATATCACTTCCTTCAAATTCTGTTGTGAGCCTCTGTCATTCTGTGGGGACAGAGGCCACTCTGTTTCAGTGGAATCCTTGGAAATCCAAAGAGGCTTCTCTCATTAGGAACACCAAATTTTGTTGCATAGCTGAATTCCCTGCCTTTTAATGTAGGGATGTTCTCTGTTGAGTAATAACCAGTGTTCTGGTAATGACAAATAGGGATTTGGATTCCATGCAAGTGCATTAATCATATCCCTGCTTGTGGTTTCCCCTATATGTATGTAGACTAACACCAGATACAGGGTTATTAATT